TCGCTTTTTATATCTTCCGTTGTTCTCATGTTCTTGAGGTTATAGGGTACCTCACTTCAAACTCTCCAACTACGGTCTCTTCGCTGCATATGTTCACTTCACTTCCAAAAAAAACAAATAATATTAGATATAAATTGAATGCACCAAATTTTCGGGCATGGCCCATCTTCAGGGTGAAAAAGAAAACCATTCAACTAAAGGCCAAAGCGCAAGCGCTGGAGACGCCATGGGGAGAACACTATGCAGAACACCACCCACAACAAGCAATCACATCTACACCCATCACCAACGCATCAATTCTCGCCAAGCAGTCGTCCCTTGTGAATCGTCGTATACGTGAAGCAATGTTCATTCGTGATAAACGCCCAAGTGTTAACAGGGATCGTGGCTGGAGACTGCTGGACACAGTGTGAAATTATTGTGTTAGATGCTGGTGTTGTAAATTGTGGTAGACTGTGATGTTGCGAATATATTATGATAATATTTGATATTTGATGTTTATGTGTGCTAGCTGGTTATATGGTTGTATGGTTATATGGTTATATGGTTATATGGTTATATGATTGTATGGTTATATGGTTATATAGTGCTTAGCAAATAGTTGTTGTCATCTTTGTCTTCACACCCATGGACCCAACTACATTGATGCTTTGCATTCTATTCTCCATGTCACTAACACATATTCACACTTACAGACACAGCTCTCCACTTGGCTCCTTCACTTTCTACCAACACACTTCACCATTGCTGCTGGTAACCACACTTCTCGTGCTTTCCCTTCACATCGCACTAACACATATTCACACTTACAGACACAGCTCTCCACTGGTCTCTTTCGCTCCTTCCCTTTTTACCAACACACTTCACCATTGCTGCTACCCTTCACACATACAAAGATTTCCAGCACTACCGCACCACACAGCATATATACTCGTTTCAGTTTTTGTTGGCTTTAGTTGAATGGTTTTCTTTTTCACCCTGAAGATGGGCCATGCCCGAAAATTTGGTGCATTCAATTTATATCTAATATTATTTGTTTTTTTTGGAAGTGAAGTGAACATATGCAGCGAAGAGACCGTAGTTGGAGAGTTTGAAGTGAGGTACCCTATAATGTGTGAATGGCTGCAATGGAGTCTGCGAGTGCTTAGAAAAGTTTATCCTGTTGGTCCAGATCGCACTCTCCCCTGGGAATTGGTGAAATGTAGTGTGTCGTTGTCTAAGAGTAGGTGTTCTGTCAAATTTCTTACAGCCTGTCGACATAATGGTGTCATTCCTGGATGTATTAGGAACTGTTCGAAGGCTACGCATCTTTTTGGAGCCGCCGTTGCCAAACAAGAGACCCGTTTCCAGCAACTAGTTCTGAATCAAATCATAAAGGACAAGTTCACCTGCATAAGACGACTCAAAGACAGGCAAGCATCTCTGCGATGGGAAGTCCACAGGAGGATGTTGCCAGGCAAAGCGACATGGGTGACAGGCCATTGCAGTCAAATGAGCGAGTGTGTACGGGAGGACGAGACGAGGCGACTGAGAAGGAAGTTGGACTGTTTGGTGAGGAGTAGGGAGGCATTGGCGGGGCAGGCCCCAGCTATGGATGCCCAGAATCGGAGAAATAGAGTTGTGATTGAGGAAGCGGTGGAGAGCGAGGTGCCAGAGGTAGCGAGAAAGGTGATGGAGCTCGGACCAAAGTTTATTCCTGGCAGACGCGTGACGAAGTCAACAGTACAGCAGGCGGAGGTGGGTGTGGAGAGACTGGCGTTCGGTTTGAGGTGGAAAGAAGAGGCGGAGAAAAACCGGACGCAAGCAGCTTCTCATCAGACGGTTACGGGGAGGCCCGTGCGACATCTAGACAATGACACGAGACTGAGAAAGATTGCAACCACGACCAAGCAAGCGCCAAGCATGGATGATGAGAAGGAAAACGGATTAAGGAGACTGAAGGGAAACATCATGAGACTGTACAAGAGAGAGGCCGACATCAATACCTCCAATAACGGACGTCAACTAACGAGAAGGGAGAAGGAGGCCCTCTCCACCTTACGGAGGAATGAAGGAATCGTGGTTAAGCCATCTGACAAGAGTAAGGGATTTGTAGTGATGTCTCGTGACAGTTATGTACAGAAAGCGAATGTCATGTTGGAGTGTCGGGATAGTTATGAGCGCTGTGACGTGAAGGTAGAAGACCTTGACAAACACACACGCAAGAAAGTCGCTGAGATCACCCAACACAAGCTACCACAACCACTCGCCAAAGCCATTCTCCCACATAACTCACGACTGAGCCAATTCTACGGTCTACCCAAAGACCACAAGCCAGGTCTTCCGCTGCGCCCAGTTGTGTCTACGTGCGGTTCGTCAATGGATAATGTCTCCTTGTTACTGGAACGTATCCTTAATCAGTTGTTGAAGTTCGTTCCAGCACATTTGACCAGTACAAAGGAGTGTATTGACGTGTTGAGTGATGTTGGTGTTCTTCCCGATGATTGTATCATTGCCTCACTGGATGTTGTCTCGTTGTATTCTAACATACCAGTTGTCGAGAGCATTGATGTCGTCATGGAGTTCTTGGAGTTGCATCGGAAGGAAGTAGATATGTTTCACCTGTCACTGTCGGATGTTCGGGAGCTCCTGTCAGTCGTGTTATCGTCCAACTACTTCGAATTTGACGGTGTCCAGTACCGGCAGCGGAAAGGCCTGGCAATGGGCAACCATCTCGCACCCCCAATGGCAATCATTTTCATGTCGAAGCTCGAGTCGGAGGCGATGGCTATGTTTCCGTGGAAGCCTCGCTTGTATCGTCGCTACATCGATGATTGTCTGGTAGTATGGTGTCATGGTCTTGTCAAGTTGATGGAGTTCGTGCAGTACTTGAGCAGCAGACACCCAGACATACGCTTCACAGTAGAACACACCCAGCAGAATGTCTCGCACACAGTCAGCTACCTCGACTTGTCTATCTCTGTGGCGAGTGGTGTTGTGCAGTGGGAGTTGTTCGTTAAGCCCAGTCATAGTGGTGTCCATCTATCGTACGAGTCTTCATTGCCATTGGGGGTGAAGCGTTCGGTTGCCCAGGAGCAGTTTCGGCGCGCAAATAGCAACGCGTCAACCGACAGGGGGAGGGAGCGGGGAGAGAAGAAGATCGAGACATTACTACGAGACAACGACTACCCACAACACGCTATTCAAGCAGCCAAGCACCATGCAAGCACACCAAGACCATCATCCACCAGACAACGACAACAATCGTACACATCCATCATCAAACTGCCCTTCGTCAATGATCGTTTGGCACGTGATGTTCGTCGTACGGTGAGGTCTTTCAGTAAGGATGTGCGTGTGGTGTTCCAGTCCGGTCGGTCACTAAGGGACATGTTGGTATCGTCATCATTGTCCCGTCCTGAATGCCCGAAGGAAGTGTATAAGAAGAGAAGAGGGAGGGGGCGACCAGTTGAATGTCGTGCATGTGATGCTGGTATGGAGAATGGTCAATGTTTGTCTCAGGATGTTATCTACTCGATGTTATGTGCACTTTGCGCCGAGGAGTACGTTGGCGAGACCGAGCGAACTGCAAGGAAGAGATTTGAGGAGCATTGCAGAGAGGCCAAAGCGCAAGCGCTGGAGACGCCATGGGGAGAACACTATGCAGAACACCACCCACAACAAGCAATCACATCTACACCCATCACCAACGCATCAATTCTCGCCAAGCAGTCGTCCCTTGTGAATCGTCGTATACGTGAAGCAATGTTCATTCGTGATAAACGCCCAAGTGTTAACAGGGATCGTGGCTGGAGACTGCTGGACACAGTGTGAAATTATTGTGTTAGATGCTGGTGTTGTAAATTGTGGTAGACTGTGATGTTGCGAATATATTATGATAATATTTGATATTTGATGTTTATGTGTGCTAGCTGGTTATATGGTTGTATGGTTATATGGTTATATGGTTATATGGTTATATGATTGTATGGTTATATGGTTATATAGTGCTTAGCAAATAGTTGTTGTCATCTTTGTCTTCACACCCATGGACCCAACTACATTGATGCTTTGCATTCTATTCTCCATGTCACTAACACATATTCACACTTACAGACACAGCTCTCCACTTGGCTCCTTCACTTTCTACCAACACACTTCACCATTGCTGCTGGTAACCACACTTCTCGTGCTTTCCCTTCACATCGCACTAACACATATTCACACTTACAGACACAGCTCTCCACTGGTCTCTTTCGCTCCTTCCCTTTTTACCAACACACTTCACCATTGCTGCTACCCTTCACACATACAAAGATTTCCAGCACTACCGCACCACACAGCATATATACTCGTTTCAGTTTTTGTTGGCTTTAGTTGAATGGTTTTCTTTTTCACCCTGAAGATGGGCCATGCCCGAAAATTTGGTGCATTCAATTTATATCTAATATTATTTGTTTTTTTTGGAAGTGAAGTGAACATATGCAGCGAAGAGACCGTAGTTGGAGAGTTTGAAGTGAGGTACCCTATAATGTGTGAATGGCTGCAATGGAGTCTGCGAGTGCTTAGAAAAGTTCTTGAGGTTAGTTGATTTAGTTACAGTCTTCGTACCTATCGTAGTGTATACTTCTTGTAGGTTCTTTACTGATTGCTGCAGTGCATTTAGTTGGAACATTTTTGTTCTGAGGCCATCCCTCCCTGGGAAAGCCCCCCCCCCCCCCCCCCCCGGACCCTATTTCAAATGATAAATAAGTAACATTTAAGTTCACCGTACACAGTCAAAGTGCACCCCCCCCCCCCCCCCCCCACCACACACCACACACACACAATTTTCCAGTCGGAATGCGGAGAATACTGTATTGGTGTCCTGCGTTGGGTAAGTATTCTGCCGGAGACCAACAAGAAAAGTATTGCATGACGTCTTCATCATTTTGCGAGAACTGTAGCAATACGCCCAGTGAGAAGGCAGATGTTGCAAACAACAAATACAAATACAGTGTGCAAAGTAGACAGTAGCTTACTGAGCAAGCAGAGGATCCAGGAGACATCGCCTGATTATGACAGAAAGCGGAAATGTCTCAATCGCATCCAAACAACGATCTTCGTCATCATCTGCAAGGAATAAACGTTTTTTTTGTGAAGAACAACACATCGCAAACTCCAACATAGCATTTTACACTACACACTTATCACGGCTGTATAACAAAAAAATGAAAAATTCAACTAGTGTTGAGAAAATAATTGAATTTGGCGACAACTTTCGTGAGGCTAATAATGTAGCGGGGAGCAAAATATTTCCTCCGTTGCTCCATTCTCTAGATTGCGATCAATGATAACCAGTAATAACTAATACTTCGAACTATGAAGTTGGTTGTTCCAACGAGGAACACACGCTTCCTGCTGAACTTGATATTTGACTGACTCATGACTGCGATCCGGAGCACACGAGGAGCACGTCGAAACTAGTTCGAAGTAATACCTACTCTTGTTTCACTTCAGTGTCTTTCACAGGCCATTAGCCTTGTTACAGGAGCCCAAAGGGAGGTGCACGAAAGAACTTGCTTTCTTTTCTTTGATGCTACTGGTATGTTTGCTTGACGTGTTCCTGAGTGCATCCCACAGCCCCTACGACTATGATGCGTTTGCAGGGGCCTCCAGGCAAGATATGCATGCCACATGCTGACATATCGACGACTGTCACCAATTGCTGCTGTCAAACACCTCACATACATCAAGTAATTGCCTTTGGCTCCACAAGCTGCTAGCACACACACACAGTCGTAAAACCATAAACCCTGGTCAGGGCCAGGCTCACAGCAGCAGGAGGAAATTCCCTTACCATGATTACGACGTTCTGTCATCTTCCCTATCGCCGGCGGCTGGTCTAGATATACAAAAAGAAACATAGACAAAAACACATGAACTTCACCGGACTACTCGACAGCGCCCATTCCACCGGACTTGTCCTCGATATCCCGCAATCCTCCCCTCAAACCATCTGCCAATATCGACTATAATACTGTAAAAGCCCGTGTATAGGCCCCCCCCCCCCCCCCCCCCCCCCGGGCGTATAGAATAGCAGCCTCGATTTCCTGGGCGTATACAAGGGCACGGGCGTTATTTTGGAACCGGGCGTATTCTTGGAATATGGATAGCAGTACGTATTGGGTATCAGTACCTGTACATGTACTAGCACTGGTGTTGCCGGCACACCTGGGCGTATACATGGGCATGGGCGCTATTTCGAACAAAAGTGTTGACTTCCCCTGACTGGGCGTGTAAACGGAGGGTGGGCGTAATTTCGAGTGGGCGTAATTTCGAGTGGGCGTATACAGGGGCTTTTACGGTAGCCCATTGGCCTATTCGGAGCAATGTCCGGGGATGCAACGATGCACGATAAAAAGTCCAAAAAAGAATTGCAAATTTCTTCATTTCCACTCAATTTTCCTGCAAGAAGACAAGCGTGATCTCTGTGCATGTGAAGTTGTGAACACATTGGCGACTGAAAAAATGTGCGTCGCCCGGGAATCGAACCCGGATCAACTGCTTGGAAGGCAACTATGCTAACCATTACACCAGCAACGCAGCACACTTCAAGCAAGTCCTGCTATGGCTGAAAATACCCGCAAGTGGTAGCAGATCATACCGATGTACAAGATACCACACCAGACATGCCAGGATTCGTATGAGCGGACACGAACACACGAACACACAAACACATACATACATACACACACACATATACACACAAACACACACACACACACACACAAACACACACACACACCGCCACCACCGCCTCCACAAAAACTGGTTTACTACAGTGTAGGCCGCCAGTCTCTGCTTACCGAGTCCGGAGAAGTCAATGGTGAGCGGGCGGAGGCCTGCAGTTCTGCGAGATGTCTCAATACACCGTTCAGACTCTGACTCAGAAACTTTAGGCCGCTGGCCATCGCACTCTGTGTGCTCAGCATCTAGCTCATAAGCATCAACAGCGGTGTGGGTGAGGACGTCAACAGCACCATTCCCTTCTTTGTCATCACTGCCAATGCTCAGGGCTGGCGACTCCTTACCAGAAATTTCCTTTCCTGCTGCTGCCAGAGTCACTGCTGGTCCGGGCGAGTGCGTGACAGTAGGGCGCTGGATACTGCTGGAGTCAGTACTAGGTGCTCGTACTGTTGCTGCTGTTACTGATGCCGCTGTTGCTGCTGCTGCTAATGCTGTTGTTGTTGCTGTTTCTGCTGCTGTTGCCGTTGCCTTGTGCAAAGTAGGATCCTGTGAATCACCACTATTACCATCATGAGCATGAGGTCGTGATGAGAACGATGTCACCGTGCTTCTAGGTACCAGCACCACTGTGTCGGATGTGAACTCCTCTGCGCCGCCGCTGTCGACGGCATCACCGTCCACACTATCACCTTGCCCCCGGTTGCGAGGTGATGCAGCGGACACAGGCGGTAGAGAGGTGGCCGGTTGCACACTGGTGGCACTGCTCTGCAAGATTGTGTGTGCTGCAGTCTGGCCAGCAGCATCCACACTTGATCTGTTTACCGGTACATTACCCGGTGAACTTTGGCTAGTGCCAATAGATGGTAATGACACATCACTTCCCACCACAGGCAGAGTATCGACAATGGCAGGCAAAGAGCCATCGGAGTGCGCTGGTAAACCTGCATCATCGGAGCGAGAAGATGGGTTGACCTTGCTCGACATTGCAGCTGCAGGTGGTCCACTCTCGGCACCTGTTTGAGAATCGGCTGCAGCGTCACGAGCAGCATTGTCCGCTATGGCCTTCACTCGTTCCTCATGCAACGCCAATCTCTTTGTCTGCCATTCGGCTCGCACTCTACGCTGCTCGGCATCCGCTGATAACTTCTCATAGCGTGCAATGAGTTCAGCTCTGCATATGCACAGCCACCACATACCCAGGCACACACATACACAGGCACACACATACACAGGCATGCATATTCACAGGCATGCACAGAAATAACAAACTCTGTCTCTGTCTGTCTGTCTGTCTGTTTAGGTGTCTCTCTTAAATTGTACGTTATGCACTAGGATCAATGTGTGGCAGAGCTCATGTTTGTTTTGCACTAAGAAGTAAGAACATTGCCTAACTGTTACTGTAAAGTCAGTACACACTACAATTATGTACTAAGAGAGAGAGAGAGAGAGAGAGAGAGAGAGAGAGAGAGAGAGAGAGAGAGAGAGAGAGAGAGAGAGAGAGAGAGAGAGAGAGAGAGAGAGAGAGAGAGAGAGAGAGAGAGAGAGAGAGAGAGAGAGAGAGAGAGAGAGAGAGAGAGAGAGAGAGAGAGAGAGAGTAGAGAGACAGAGAAAGAGAGAGAGAGAGAGAGAGAGAGAGAGAGTAGAGAGAGAGAAAGAAAGAGAGATAGATAGATAGATAGATAGAGAGAGAGAGAGAGAGAGAGAGAGAGAGAGAGCTTGAACACACCTTGCTTCATTCTCCAGCCTCTCTTGCTCAGCGTCCTTCTCCAGCATGCCTCGAATCAACTCGGCGTCCTCTTTCCGTTCTCTGGCCACGTCCGCTGCTTTGCGCTGCACATTACCACACACATTACCACACATATTACCACACAAATTACCACACAAATTACCACACAAGCAGCAAACATGGCACACAGCGAATAAACCTGATCGGAAAGTGCCAATCACTAAGGTGTTGGGATCTCAATATAGGGGATCCACATTCGGACTATCATAATGACACTCTCTTTCAAGTTTCCACTTCCTCACATGTCAAATCATATGTACATGTACAGCGCTGGCCAAAGAAATCCAACCTCATGAATAAAATAGCGCTGGGCGCTACGCAGCCCAAGCACTACACATACTGGTCTGTGCACTCGAACGCGGCGCTACTTTATTCATGAGGTTGGATTTCTCTGGCCAGCACTGTACATCATACAGGTAATACAACAGACAGGTACATGTGCATACACTACATGCATACCTTGTGTAGTGAAGTGAGTTAGGGGCAGGTAAGTTACATGAACACATGTGCCCTACATCGAACACGTCCCACCGGTATTCCTACCTCCTGTTCAGCAACCATGTTGTCTTTCAGCTCCTGAAGCGTTCGCTGCTGCTCATCTCGTTCCAGTCCGCGCTGCACTTCCTTCTTCGCTGCAACAACGATGTTCAGACAACACGACAAACAAGAGTGAATACAGTGTACCAGAGGTCTGGAGAACACTAGTCAAAGCAGCGTCACCACTTCAGATGTCGCACCATTTCCCTGGGTTCCTTCTCTTCGCCACATGGGACCAAGGGCAAAAAAAAACTTTGTATAAGAAAGGCCAAGAAGCAATAATGCTTTGGACTCGTTCTGCCCATCCGCTTCCCTTCCTTCACGCCTGGTCCCTCACCTTGCTCTGCTTCTTGTCTCTTTTTGCTTTGCTCCGCAGCGTGAATGATGCCAAGACGCAGCTCCTCATCCTGCAGCACAGAAACAGCAACCAAAAAAGATTGAAAGCCATTGTCACAGAGCTGATTTTAGCTACCAGTGAACGAAATCCCATAACCTTTTCGTCATGATAGGGCACACCCACTAACCTACCACCCCACCCCCCCCCCCCCCTACACACATGCACCTTGACACCCCCCCCCCCCCCCCACACACACATGCACTTTGACACACAGTATCAAACTTAGATCCACTATTAATCTGACCTTTTCCTCGCTCTGTCTTTGCAATGCGTGAAGGGCATTGTCGCGCTCTTGAACAAAATCCTGCACACATGTACAAAAAACGCATTACAAACGACACGCATACACACCATGCACACACACAAATACATTCACATGCCAACAAACGCACGCACGCGCGCGCACACACACACACACACACACACACACGCACACACACGCATACACACACACACACACACACACACACATATGCCGTCGCACACATACATGCATGATAGGACGCATGAACGCAGACAAAAGGACAGACAGACACATACACACATCCAGTTGCACTTGCTTGTCTCGAAAAAGTCACAAAACTATGCGTAGACTTAATTTGTCATCAAACTGAATAGAGGTCATGTGACTGGAAATAGCATGATCCCTTGGTCCTGGTTGCAGTGATCTTCTCGGACAGGTGGTCGCCTTAACTGAGTAACCGAGTGGTCGCCATGATATGTTTTACTGTACTTGAAGTGGCAATGTGAACTCATTGATTGTAACAATGACTTACTGAGCAGGCCAGCATGGATTCGTGGAGACCGTTTATACTGAATCGAAGACGCAGGTCCATTCGAGCTTGTCCCGCGGCTAAGAGAGGGTGCTGAACGACCACAAGCAAACAATGGACATATAGTTTGGTAGGTGTGCAGCATGGTGTCATGAGTAATAGTGATAACAACACCATTACGAAAGGGCCTAATTAAATACACAAACATTGGTTTGAGGGAAAGATGCAAACGGGAAAAGTCTGAAGAAAAATTGATTGTCACCACCAGAACTTGAACCAGGGACCTTCGCTTGAGGCCAGCGATGCTCTAACCACTTAGCTATGGTGTAGCTGTCATCCCAGCAGAGACCGTTCAACACTTCCTTCGGACTTCAAATAAATACACATTGAACATTTTTTCACTGCGGTTTCTTACATTGGGTGAACATTGCCGCAGCAATTCCACTGCCTTGCCGCAGCCGATCAGCTTTTCTGCAATCGATGCCAGGAAGAGTGGAATTATTGGCTCTCCGCGGCCAGCACCACGAGCCACTCGATAGCCATGCTGCCAGTAACGCACATCTACACAGGAGCGAAACAAGACAACACAGGAGAACAGCATGTACAGATATGAAAAATGCAATTGGTTGTTTCAGATGATTCATGGCAGCAGCAAGCACTCCACAACTTCTAGTTACATGTAGTGTGAAGACTGGACACCAGACCAAACTGCGACTCTTGAATTACTTTTCAGGACATGTCCCGTCCCCAGGCTGTTTATTATAGGGAATTCACATTGCACGTCGTCTGGGTCACACTCCAGCAGCCATTGAGTACAGACTGATTGAGTGTTGAGGTTGTGACCTTGAGAAAACCGTACTCCTTATTTGAAGACTGCCACTGGTATAACGAGCAACAGAGGTTCACATGTTCGCAACTTCAACTTTACCAGTATGGGTCTCATCACGGACACACACCACAATCATTGTTATACCAGGGGCGCCGGAAGGTATTTTAGTGTGGTACGGTCAGCCATCCGAAGTACAATTTACTCGTGTGGGAGGGGTGGCTGAGCCGAACATTTAGGAAATTTTAGAGCCCAGATGAGTGTATTTTATTAATTCAAGGTGTACCCGGGGCAACAGGCGGTACGGTCAATACCGTAGTGACCGTACCGTGTCCGACGCCCCTGTATACTTGTGTTCATGCCATGTTTTAGAGGATATTGTCAGGTCACACTCACCCAGTGCGACACTTGGTCTATACAACACTTTAGCCTTTACCATGCTGGCGGCCGTACCCTGCTCACAATCAGTATGACAGGGTCTAATGGGTGTTAGCAAGAGTACATAACCCCCCAGAGTGTGCAACTCCACTATGGGTGCTGTCCCGACAGAATTTCAAGTTGACGTCATTTTGATGATGCAATGCGCACTATACACGGATTATCAGACGAATCCGGAACCTGTGGTTGACCGAAGCCGATCGATCCTGTACAAATTATTGCAAAGAAAAACGTGTGATGCGTTGACACCCGTACACATGTTGTAAATCACTGGTGCAAGGAGCATTGCGTCATAAATAATGACGTCAACTTGAAATTCTGTCGGGACAACAGGGTATGTGGGAGTTGCACACTCTGGGGGGTTATGTACTCTTGGTGTTAGTAATTTTTCGAGAGTGCAACACTTGCCCCTGCCCAAAGCCAATAGAGAGTGAAACAGGCAAGCCAAGAGTGAACCCCACACTGTTCCGAGTTCCCCCTTGCTTGTGCCGTCTCCCTCCACGCTCCTCGCTAGTATACTAATTCTTCTGTGCACGGTGCCACATCGCTACAAAAAATGCCATGCAGTCATGTACTGGCTTTTTAGTTAGGACACTTGGTGTGCTTGTCCCGTCGTTGCTATCAGCACCATTGGACATGTTTCACTGTCTATGTAGGGAGGGCTCTTTTGCCTGTTGTGCATTATAGCACATACATGCATACATACATGCAAGAGTCACAGAACAACAAGGGAAAGGCTAGTTTCTCACTACTCTGAGTGAGTGTCATGCTTATGCAATCATCAGGTGATAAGACGATGTCATTGCCTGATGATTGTGTAAGCATGACACTCACTCAGAGTAGCGACAAACTCAAACTAGCCTTGCTTGCCCTTGTTGGTCTGTGTATTACACTCGATTCATACTTCATTTCGCGTACGGGAAAGCCATCGCGCGATGACTTTCCCGTACGTGAAATAGTTGAGCTCAGATCAACTTTTTCACAACGCAACGCGTTTCCCGTACGCGAAATGAAGTATGAATCGACCTTAAACTTAAGTTAAAGCTCTGCCTCCGTGGCGTTAAGCACTGGTGTACAAGAGCCACAAAAATAAGGATAACTTGACAAATGTTGCTGCTACTTCTAGGTTCATGCAAATAACAATCATCAGGCAGCGGTGGCTGGTACCAGACTATTCCAGGCTGATGTACTGTATGGGTCTGAGCAAATTGTAAGCGTGCGTGCGAGGTTAGGGGCCATCCGGCATCATCGATAATTTGCAAGGAACGAAAAAGTTTAGTTATGACCCTCCCCCACCCACCCCCTGAACGAAAAAATTATTGACTTGGCAGCTAGAATGGATTGATGTTCAAGCTATCAATTTTTTTTCAAAACGAAACTCCTCGTCCCACCCACAAGCGGAACTTTTTCGTTTCGTGTAAAAGATCGATAATTATCAGCAGCCCCATAATGTACGAGACGAATATCATGCACTGCAGCCACCAGATGCAGTGATCGCAAGAGAGGAGAAGAGAAGTGTGATGTTACAATCACTTCTAGCCAAGTACTAGAGAATTCGGAGTGTGTGCATACTGTTCCTGGATGCTTATTCCCACTCAATACATAAGCGTGAGGTGGCCTGATATTGGCCGCTGCTGACTGATGATTGTTAATAATATTAAAAGTAGCAGCATCATTCGGCTACTACAAGTGTAGGATGTCCTTATTCTTGTGGGAAAGCCTCTGGCACCATAGGCAAAGAGCACTCAACACAGATGAGAAATTGAGAGGTTTAAAATATACAATGCCACGTCAAAACTCTAATTTCATTTTCGGTGCTCAATATTTTCGGTATGAGGGCAAAAGGCTAGGTTAGGTGAACAGAAACTTTAGGACAGAGAAGCAGTTCCATATTGGATTACATGTATGTGTGTTAGCAGTGGTTATTCGGTGTACTGAAATTATATGTATGAAACAGATGCACCGAAAGTACCGAAAATAAAAGTACACCAACAATTTGTGAAATAACAGTAGTTACATGTGCCAGTACAATTATTGAACTTTCTTCGTATTGGGTTCAATCTGGCACAATGTTACCTGCTTTTTAGAACACGCAAATGACTGGAGGTTTTTATACTATAATTTAAAGAGCGATACCCCCCCCGCTGGGTCAAATACTTGACCCCAGCGGGGGGGATATTGCAATATCCCCCGCTGGGGTCACGAATATTCCCCGGGTCATGCCAATAAGGGAGATTTTATTGCTGGTCACGCTCTATTTGGGACAGTACATGGGATAAATGGATTATACCATTCGTACTCTGCGTATACCGTGTACGTGTCCCATATATTTCCCTCGTGCCAACGCACTCTTGAAAATATTCGGCGGCCCCTCGTACTCATGGGATAATCTATACTTTGGAATCTTGGTAGTGTATGTAGTCTGTCCCTCCAGGAACTTGCGATTCCGCGGCCGCGCTGTTTTCCGCATTTGAACAAAAGTCCGTGATATCCTTGATATTCATCCGCGTTATTGTAACTGTCCTTGATACTTGAAAAGCACCGCGATATTTCGAAAAGCAACCGCGATATTTGAGTCTTTCTTCGATGTTGTTTAGTTCTTCAAGCTCGTCAGTAGTTTACTTGTGAGATCGACACCAGAATGGAGAAGTTTCTGGGCAAATCAGCGGCTGACAAGTCACAAAATAAGGCTCGCGTCGAGTGTTGTCCGAGGATGGAGGAAAGCTGTCTTGCAAGCTCCTGTCAGGCAGTTGAACACAGTCAGCGCAGCACACGTTCTGTTTTGTCATGCATGATTTATGCTGTACGACTCGTACATCGTACACCACTACAGTACAAGTACCAAAATCGGCCGCAATTCCCGCAATTTTACCACAATAATCCCGCAATATTTGACAAAATCCGCAATATTCCCCACAATTTGTGGCATTTTACCTCGCAACTTTTTCCGCGATATTTCCGAAATGTCTCCGCAAGTTTCTGGAGGGACAGTGTAGTGGTGAATGCCATGGATTTGATGATGGGCTTTGCTGCTCATGAAATGCTTCCTATATCCCCCTATATGGCCTAGTTCTCACAAGCTGTGGCGAATCAACATTTTTACTTTTTTTAAAGCGCTGAAGGAGCAGACATGACCAATACTCTGTACTAGCTGAGAAGAGTTCTGTTCAGACACTCAACCACAACAAGACTGAATGATAACTATGAGGAGCAGTAGACAGATCCAGAACACCTATTCCAAACGGCCAAATACATCGGACAGGGCACAGCCTCAGATCAGGCGTAGGAAATAAAACTGGCAATCCCGTGGCGTTTACTGATTACTACTTTATGACATGTGAGCAGAAACTACAGTACAACACTTCCTGAAGCTGCCACGACACAAAGACACCATGAACACAGCTGGGACCATGCAAACTGAAAGAGGGAGAACGCCTCACTTCACAAACGAGAAAATCAAGAGAGCAAATCAAAGTCACTGAGAGACCACTGTGCCGAGGCACCTTTACTAATAATTTGGCTGTACCGTATGTTGGGTCGTGGACACAAAAACTACAACAAAAACGTCAACACTGCACTGACACCACAGCTACAGTTCAAGCAAGAGTGCATGAAACCCGGGTTTCGGTTCAAGGGAAACTAGTACAAGGACAAACATGAAACAATCCTGACCGTGAACCAACGACGTAGGTCCTTTATTTGGAACAGGAATAAAACAGAAGGGTGGCTCACAATTTCAAAAACCAGAAGAGACAAAGCATAATTATTATGCCCAGAACCTGAGAACACCAATGCCTGGCACTAACGGGGGCCACGCACCGGATCAGACGATGCGGATGAAGTCGATGAATGACCTGCCACACTGCACTACCACAAGTCAAGTACAGACTCAGTCAGTGGCTCCCCGGACATAGTGTTCAGTACATGTACAGTGTAAACGAGTAGATCTCCGCACGTGCCATCAATCATGAGCAATCAAGTGAAGTCTTGACTCTTGAAAGACAAGCCAAGGCCAAGGGCAAGGGCCACTGGCGAAATAAAATCCTTTGCAACGAAACTTTATGGTTCCGAACAAGAGTAGTGAAACAAGATCTCTCAGCAAGCGGACAAGCAGACCAGCACAGAACCAGGGAAAACACACAACGATCAAGTAAACAGTAGGGACGGGTGGGAGGGAAACAAGAGATTGACAATTTCTTCCAAAATAAGAACGTCTGGCAAACAATGACCAAACCTTTTCAAAGAACTGCTGCTGATCCTGAACAAGATGGAAATTCTCCGAATAGGCGAGAAGGAC